AACCTATGTAATCGGTAAAACCCAAAATCAAAGTTTCATTTTTTTCCACTGCGAGCACAAAATCCAGAAGTGGTTTCCAAGTAGAAGCAAAAGTAACTGTGTTTTTTTCTTTAAACAAAGCAGCCAGTTGTATCTCCTAACTCCATCATATATGTTGATGGCAGCAAGTTTACTTTATGCACAAAAATGGAAGGATACTTTGATTCCCACAATGGATGAATGACTTATGATCATTTTTCAGTTACGACTTTTGCAGCATCCCCATGATCATGTGATCAAAATTCAGATGCTTGCAACAGATTCATGTTTATGTTTGCTGTGTCCTGCGCTCATGTCATCACCATTTGCGACCTTCTGACAAGCAAAGTCATTGAGGAAGCCAGATTTACTTAACCGGGTCTTATCAACTACAGTGATTCACTTAACTGTGGCAAGAAAGGTTGTAAAATGGGGCAAAACTCACTTAACAAATATCTCACTTAGCAACAGAAATTTTGGGCTCACTTGTGGTTGTAAGTTGAGGACTACTTGTACCTGATTGGTTACCCAAAATATCTAACCAACCTAATAAACGTGACATCAAACTAAGTACCTAAATGTGTATTTCTAATTACCAATTCTGAGGTACCCCAATTCCCACAGTCCGCTAATAATGGTGATGTTTTTAATGTGTTTTATGTAAAGTATTGCCTTGCAGCATATGGTCTATTGCAGGTAACCCTGCTAACTTCCTGAACAGTCAACTGGATACCTCTAAATCCAGAAAGGATATAAACAGTTAGTTTAATTATCAAGTTGCTATTAACACTGCCTTGTACAGAATTATTAGTCATACTGACTTAATATTGTGAATATCAGAAAGATTCACAAATCAAACAATCCAAGAAATGAGAAACAGAAATAAATTATTGCCTGGGGGGGCAAATACAGAAGGAAATCATAGTACTTAGTATTATGCACTACTCTGATTATTTCATAGAAAGACTTATTGTCTTTTTTCTAATGGTACCTTCTCTTGCTCTACATATGTGTTAATTTAACTTAGGTTTATTTGAAGCCTAAACCCAATCCAGAAATATGTTTAAAATAGTTACTAATTTCTGTTATATTTCTATTCCATGGCACTTCAGAACAAAGCAAAGTGTTGTTGTTAACTGTGCAGTTAAACATTATTGCTCTCCCCAAAACAAAACTGAAGGTGGGGTGGGGTGGATTCTGTAAATAGAAATAAATACATCTGAGTCATTCTTTAATATATTTCAATTAATGAGTAATGTGTTTGACAAAAAAAGCCAAATTCAAATATTACTACTTAATATAAAGCAAAAAGAATAATCAAATCATGAACATGCATGCAGAGATTCCATTGTCTGCATTCTAAAATTCTCTTTAATTCCATGAAAATAAATAGAGCAAAACCCAAGGCTTAATAGAAACATAGAATAATGCAGGGACACAAAATGAAGCTGCTTACCATAATTATACTACTACAATGAAGATAGTTTACCAGCTAGTTTTTAAAGCAAGTAGAAATTTACTTGGTTTCAGGATAGGTTCAATTAGTAGAAATATCTTGTTAACTTAAACACTACAATCAATTTAATACTGGTCTAAGAGAACACAGCATTTTTTTTAATGAAACTCTCTTATTATAAAAGCAGTCTCAGTAATATAACATTTTCAAAGTATTAGAAATCTACTATCTAACATTTCTAAGTGTCATTTTTTAAAAAAGGAAAAACACTAATAAACATCTCGTGTGAATTGTGCTGCACCCTAAGAATCTTATTCGGGTCTTAAAACTAATGTAAATTAATCATATAAAAGTAAAGCTTAGGGGGAAAAAAGTGTTTTAGAAAAGCATAGTGACAGAGGTGTTGGTGAAAAGAATCTCATTTTTTTTCTAGACCAACAAGTCATAGTTTTTAAGTCTGTGAATTCTGCCATTCTATTTATAAGGTTCAGTAAATGGTTCTGTACTTAGAGACTTTTGAAAACAATTAAGAAAATCCCTGCCTACAACAGTTAAGTTATGGATCACAATAAAACCATTTAGCTTTTAACTTCTACTTCAAGATACAAAGTATGCAAGGAAAATGGAACTATTCAAACAAGGGTAATTATCCTCCTTTTCTGCATTCTAATATATTACAATTTATTTAATGCAAATAAAAAGAGTTCTGTAAAATCAAATAATTTAAATAAAAAAGAATTTTTTTTTCAAAGGCAGTGATATTTTCTCCAGATATTTGAAATATTTCTACTAGTAGTTGGAAAATAGATACTTTCTACTATAATGTAGTAACACATGTTTTTAAAGTATTTTAAAATGAAATTTGCCTAGGGGAAAACAATTGCTACTGAATTGGATACAGAGTTCCTTTTTATTAACATCAGACCAGACTTGACTCTCTCTCCCCCCTTGTAGATAGTAGTGATGTAAGGAAATTAGAAGCTTCAAAGGTTCACTTGATAAGATTCCTCAACAGCATTTTGAAACAGAGTTTCTTCATCCAATTGAAGATTCTAAATAACAAAGTAGCAGTGAATTAGAAACAAAACCTTTAAAATCAAGCTATTTTTCTTTAACACTCTGCATTATTACTTAGAAAATTGTAAAAATACAATTTCTTGTATGATTGGTTTTGTTTAGTTTTATCTTCATATTAAAAGCAGCAATAAGGCTTATTGTTAAATTCATTTACTCTGTTTCAAGAATGATGTTAAAAATAAACTAAGTGAATTCCAAACACATAAGGAAAACTTCATTTGATTTTAGTGTATCCTGCCATTACTTAAAAGAATTCAAGGTATTTCCTAGTCCAAGTCTTCTTTTATAAATCTCTCTGTTCTTCTCTGAGAGGAGAGAGAAGAAATTTTAAGACATAAGATCTGACTTTCTGTACCTGGATAGTTTTTTTTGTATGGAAGGATCTCTATCTTCTCAGTCCACAAGTTTACTGTTGTTTCTCTTTAATGTGCCACAATTGTTCTTAACTTATTACTCTCACAATACAATTTGCACCCTTTCCTTGATCAAAGGCCCTTTAGATAGTCAATCATGCCCTAATTGCTTGCAGCTTGCCTATTATAATTTGATGTACACAGGGGTGCCTATGAAGATCTCTAGAAGCTTTAACTGGTATAGAACCAAGAGCAGTGATGGGCATATCTTAGCATGCCCATGTAATATCTCTGCTTTTGTGAGCTGTACTGGTGGTTGATTTACTTCCAGATACAACTTAAGGTGCTAGTACTTGAGGGATTGCTTACCTACCATAGCATTTTTTAAAAAATTAGATTTGTCTTGTCTCTATTCTTCAATTTTTTTTGCTATTTCATATTCTTTAATTACTTGCATCTGAACTTAATGTCTTTATCTTGGCCTCCTTTCCTTTCATTTTAGGATTGACTTTGATTTTGGTTTTCTAGTTTTGATATTTTGCTCTTGTGCCACTGCTATACTGTAGGCAAGATGTTTAGTCTGTTTAATAGGTGATACTTTAATTCTTGAAAGCACCTTATTCACATCCTTTATTATAGGTGCCAGGTCTTTTTGGACACTACTTTCAATTCAATCGTTGTCTTTCTACTATCAATTCTGCACATGCCATAATTTTATCTTTTAATCTTTATGGGGGAGTGGGGCAGCTATTTCAGTGCTGGCCTGTACTGGTTCTATTATTATTACTTCTTCTAAGTTATCATTTCTGTAGTCCATAACTGCCGTTTCCTCTATATTTCCAATTGTTGTTATCTACAATTATATTCAGTCTTTGGGTCTTCCATTTTCATATTTTTTTGAATCTCTTCCAGTTATGCATCCCTGAATATTTTATTTCTGGTAATGAATCTCCTTTGATCTGGTAATCATTGTTTAGTGATATTTGTGAAATTGTTATATTTGATATTTGATTCTAACAAGTAGAAAGTTGTGGAAGGAATATGAATAGAACAGACATCTCTTATTTTAAAAGTAGATATAGTGTTTCTGCTTTTAAAAGAGAAAATACTAGTTATATTCTTCCCATTAAGTTAAAAAGCCTTTACGAATGGGGGTAAGGGTGATGTTAAAAAGCAACTAGTCTGCACTAGTTCCAGTATCAATCCACCTTCGGCTGAGCTTGAAAAAACTAAGCAAAATCTGACCCACTTAGCACTTTAGAGGAAAATCCCAGGGAATCCCAGGAATATAGGCCTGGGGAAAAATTAATGCCAAACTATTTTTGAACTGTTGCCAGGAAAATAACACAGAAGTCTCTATGTAATCAATTTGGGTAAGCTTGAGTAGACATGTTTAAAAAATTTAATCACTCCCATCGAGATCTGCAATGTTAATATGGTATAATTTTTCCAAATCTAAATATTTTAAGTGCTCAGATATGTTTAATGAATGAAATGCAACGTCTGTGTGCTTTTTAAAGTTTGATCTATGCCAAATTTAAGGGGAAAAAGTAAAAATACTATTATTAATGAAAATGGAAAAGTTCTGTCAAAAAGAGGTAAGAAGTTTTTAAAGTATGGCATTTCATTCTTTTATTTTATACACCTTGCAATTAACATAATTTCAAATAAGTACTCTTCAGAAGGAAAAAAAATTTTTTTTACACATGTAATTACACTTTATAATTCACTACCCTGAGATGTGGTGCTGGCTACTATTTGGTTGGCTTCAAAAAAGGTTGCACCAATTCATGGAATGCTTGGGGATCGATGATATAATCTGGATGGCAATGTGACTGCCTCTGAAGGCCATCAACTGGGGGATAAGGTATTTTTGCAGTTAGTTGGCCACTGTGAGAACAAATGCCTGGATTAGACAGGCCAGGATCCAATCCAGCAGTACGTTGCTTATATTCCTATGGCTGACTTTACCAGTAATAACAATAAAACAACAGAAATAATTAAAACTTGTATCCTTAAATATTAACTCTATTATACCATTTGAGCTAAGCCACAAGACCTTTTACATACAACAAGCTTTTTACACATGTACTCACTGCTGGGTCTACTTGATAAAGATGCTTGTCATTACAATGATCCAATAGAGTCTGCCTTGTGAAGTTACTTTCTTGACATAGAGGGCATTTGAAAGTAGGCTGCTCACTGAAATACAAACAGCAACAGAATAAATAAATAAATAAAAAGTAGAGAAGCAGCATGCAATATGTACAAGGAACTCAATGGATGAAAAACAAGCACATAGGGCCATCTGCTGTTCGCAGCAGATGACTAATTTAATATGCTTTTGCAATACTGACAACAGTCAGTTGTAATGATTGAATAAGAGTTGGAAGGGATATTAGAGGTCTTCTAGTCCAACTGTCTGCACAAGCAGGAGACTCTATACCATTTCAGACAAATGGCTATCCAATCTCTTAAAAGCCTCCAAGTGATAGAGCACCACAATTTCTGAAGGCAACTGGTTCCATTGGTTAATTGTTGTCACTGCCGAGAAATTTCTCTTTAGTTCTAGGTGGTTTCTCTCCTTGATTAGCTTCTATCCATTGCTTCTTGATCTGCCTTCTGGTGCTTTGGAAAATAGATTGACCACCTTTTCTTTGTGGCAGCCCCTCAAATACTGGAACACTGTTATCATGTCATCCTTAATCCTTCTTTTTACTAGACTAGACATATCCAATTCCTGCAAGTGTTCATGTTTTAGCTCCCAGCCCCATAATCATCTTTGTTGCTCTTTTCTGCACTCTTTCCAGAGTCTCAACATCTTTCTTATATTGTGGTGACCAAAACTGGATGCAATATTCCAAGTGTGGTCTTATCAAGGTATTATAAAGCAGTACTAATACTTCACATGATCTTGATCTTTCCCTCTTTAATGCAGCCTAGGATTGCATTGGCTTTTTTAGCTGGCTCATATTTATGTGATTGTCAACTAGGACCCCAAGATCCCTCTCACAGTTAGTGCTTTTGAGCCATGTTCATCTAATCTGTACTTGAACATTCGGTTTTTCTTGCCTAAGTGTAAAATCTTACCTTTCTCTCAATTGAATTTCATTTTGTTAGGACTCAGTGTTCAAGTCAGTCAAAATCCTTCTGGATCTTAAGACTATCTTCTGGGGTGTTGGCTATTCCTGCCAACTTTGTGTCATTTGCAAATTTAATGAGTTCCCCTTCTACTCCCTGATCTAAATTGTTTATGAAGATATTGAAGAGTACTGGGCCTAAAATGGAACCTTGAGGTTCTCCACTGCTTCCCTCTATACAGATGTAGTTCCATTAAGGAGCGCCTTGTCAGCCAGTTACGAATCCATCTGATGGTGATGCTGTCTATCCCACATTTTTTAACTTACCCACAAAGTAGGTTGTGGTCTCCTCTGTGAAATGCCTTTCTGAAATCCAAGTATACTATATCCACAGCATTTTGCTGGTCCATTAATTTAGTAACTTTGTCAAAGAGTGAAATAATGTTGGCTTCTGATTTACTTGCTTCTAGGTGTTCACAGATCTATTATCTTTTCCAGGTCCTTCCCAGGTATTGAGAGGCCAGGCCGACTGGCCTCTGTAGTTTCCTGGATCTTTTTTCCCCCCTTTTTTGAAAATGGAAACTACAGCAGTTCTTTTCCAGTCCTCTGATAATTCCCCAGTGATCCAGGATCTTTGAAAGACATGGTTCAATGGTTCCAAGATCATGTCTGCCAACTGCTTCAGAACTCTGGGATGTAATCCATCTGGTGCTGGTGATTTGAACTCGTCTGGAGGTATATAGGTGTTCTCTTACCATTTTCTTGCCTATTTTAATTTATATTCCTAGTCTGTCTTTTATGGTTCTGTTTTGGGTAGGTTATGCTATTTTTTCCTTTTGCATGAAGAGAGATGCAAAGAAGGAATTAAGCAGCTCTGCTTTCTCCCTCTGCTTATCACTTCCTTGCCATCTTGATAAAGACACCACCTCTGACTAGTAGCAGGGATGAGAGTATCCCTCTGTTGCTTCCATAATTTCAGGCAATTCATAAACACCTGGGTGTTTCTTTTCCCAGAGTGGGGTGCCCAAAGGCTTGCTGACAATTTATTCTCCTACCAATGACTAGGGCCAGCACTTTTTCCCTTACGATGGAGTTCTTCCAGGAAGAGTCTGCTCTTCCTGGGGGAAAGAAGGTATGGCTTTCTCATTAGTCTGGCTTCTATGATCAATGATGTAGAATAATTTTATTATTACAAAATTGGCACATATTGCAATAGCTATTTGTTTACTACTTTCTACAATACTTTAAAAATTAGCAGTTCACACAAATGTGTTTTAGCTTTCATATTATTTTGGAATATATTTCTGTTAAGTCCACTCACTTTCTACTCATAAAAACCAATAGTTATTAATAAGCAGGGTTGTTCCTACCTTGCAGGTTCTTCAGGAACATGTAGATTAGAGTTTTCTCCCATTTCCGAAGTAGAAGAATCACTCCCAAAACTGAGTGAGAATTTATTTTACAGTAAATAAAAAAATCTTAATAGTTATGATTATTAGTTAAATCCCTCTATCTTTGATTGATAATTGGCATCTCTAAATTTGATAAACAAAATTCATTTGAATAAAATATGTGCATATTTCTTCCATATTCTCTCTCTCTCTCTCTATGTATGTATATGTGTATGTATTTATATATAGATACACACATTTATAATTGGAGGGAGAAACAGAAATAGGAATCAAGGAGCAAGCATTTTTTTCCTATGAACTGTTAAAAAAATACTAGTGAAAATGCTCTCAAGGTACACTACACTTCAGTTGTTTAAGTGGATGTGCATTTCAACTCCCCACTGTAGACTACAGAATTTGGGCTTCAGGTGGTTTTCCAAATACTAACTAGATTTGTCCTTGCTTCCCTGTTTACAACTTCACACAAGACCTCCAGGACTTGCTGCCACTTTTACCATTGATTTATGGTTACAAATTTCCCTCTAATACATTTAATATTAATTATAACTATATTTATGTATGTGATTAAAGCTTAAAAAAATGCTTGGGACTGCAAAATCCAGCTGCTTCCCGGACCAGTCACCATTTACCGCTCCGAGCCCAAGCATTAGGAGATGAGGGCTGCCACTCTTACAGCGCTCTTACAGCGGAGAGAAAAAGCCGGATGCCGCTCTCCATTGCAGACACCAAATCGCCCCCCTGCAAGCTCTCCTCTCTCAAGCAGTCCAACCAAAGTTTCCAGCCCCGCTTCAGGGAGCGCTCCTCGAGAGACGAGAGTTTGCAGGGGGCTGATTTGGCATCTGGATTAGAGAGCAAAATCCAGCTGCTTCCCGGACCAGTCACCATTTACCGCTCCGAGTCCCAAGCATTAGGAGATGAGGGCTGCCACTCTTACAGCGCTCTTACAGCGGAGAGAAAAAGCCGGATGCCGCTCTCCATTGCAGACACCAAATCGCCCCCCTGCAAGCTCTCCTCTCTAAGCAGTCCAACCAAAGTTTTCCAGCCCCGCTTCAGGGAGCGCTCCTCGAGAGACGAGAGTTTGCAGAGGGCCGATTTGGCATCCGGATTAGAGAGCAAAATCCAGCTGCTCTCCGGATCAGACGCTATTTACCGCTCTGAGTCCCAAGCAGCAGGAAACAAAGGCTGCCTTGCACCGCAAATATAGCAAGGCAGAATCCTGATGCTGCACTTTCAGCAGACAGATGAGGGCTGCCTTGGCCATCGGCTGGCGCAAATATACCAAGGCGAATGCTCATGCCGCACAAGTTCAAGTAGTGCTTCGCTCCCACACTTCTTTCGGCCCTCACTCTCAGGGAGATGCTTGACTTCCTCTCAGCCCCAAGACACTGGCTGGCCCATGAGATGAGAGAGAGAGAGAATGAGAGAGAAAGAGAGAGAATCAGAATGAGACAGAGAGAGAAAGAGACAAAAAATGAAAGGGAGAATGAGAGAGAGAGAATCAGAGTGAGACAGAGAGAGAAAGAGAGAGAAAGACAGAATGAAAGAGAATGAGAGAAAGAGACAGAGAGAATCAGAGAGAGTGAGAGAGAGAGAATGAGAGACAGAGAAAGAGACAGAATCAAAGAGAATCAAAGAATCAGAGAGAGAATGAGAGAGAGAGAATCAGAGTGAGACAGAGAGAGAAAGAGAGAAAAAGACAGAATGAAAGAGAATGAGAGAAAGAGACAGAGACAGAGAGAATCAGAGAGAGAGAGAGAGAGAGAGAGAATGAGAGACAGAGAAAGAGACAGAGAATATATAAAATGATCTACCGGTGGCATCTACCCCCGGCGAGATTAGCTAAAATGTTTCCCGGGACATCTGCCTGCTGTTGGAAGTGTGGTTACAGCAATGGAACCTATTTTCACCAATGGTGGACCTGCCCGCAGGCGGTTAAATATTGGAAAAAAATACGGCAATGGATTTTGGAAATTACACAGATTAATTTGGAATTAAGACCTGAGATTTTCCTATTGGGGGCAAAACCTTTGAATGTTAAGTCAGATATATGGTTCTTGTTGATTCACATTATCACTGCAGCAAGATTAGCGTATGCGCAGGAGTGGAAAAATCAATACTTACCGATAGATTTGAAAATAATATATAAAATTAATGAGTGTGCGGAATCAGATAGACTAACTAGATTGATCAATGGTAAAAAAGATTCAGAATTTTATAACAGTTGGAAAGTATGGTACGATTGGGTCCAGAAAAGGTGGGAAAGAATAGACATATGATGATGTATATATATGATGGCAAATACGTATGTATAAAGGAATGATTTTATACTTATGGACAATGTAATCATATTATACCATGGTGGCAGGATTGTATATTTTATTTGTGTATTAGTGTATAGAATATATTAATAAAAATTATATATATATATAAAAAAAAAAGAAAGAGACAGAGAATCAAAGAGAATCAAAGAATCAGAGAGAGAATGAGAGAGAGAGAGAGAAAATGAGAAAGAGGGGGGAGAAAGAGAATGAGGGGGGAGAGAGAGAAAGAGTGGGGGAAAGAAAGAATGAGAGAGGGGGAGAGAGAAAGAGAATGAGAGAGGGGGAGAGAGAAAGAGAGAATGAGAAAGAGTGGGAGAGAAAGAAAGAGAGGGAGAGAGAGAGAGCGCGAAAATGAGAGAGAGAGAAAGAGAGAATGAGAGAGAAAGAGTGGGAGACAGAGAGAGAGAGACAGACAGGAGGGAGAGTGCCTGAAGGACCCCATCCCGTACTGGGAGTCCAGGTGCTTCAGCAAGCGGTGCACTGGATTCGTATTAGTGGTCCGCAAAATTTAAAATTATGAAGTTGGTGGTCCCTGAGGTCCAAAAGGTTGGGGACCCCTGGCCTAAGACCATCGGAAAACACATATTTTTGATGGTTTTAGGAATAACTTTATTGTTGGGGATCACCACAACATGAGGAACTGTATTAAAGGGTCGCGGCATTAGGAAGGTTGAGAACCACTGCCTTAGCTGCTTGCCTTGCTTCGCTTGCCTGAATCCATTCCATCAGCAAGCAACTCCCTGCCTGCAATCAAGCAGGCAGGGAGTTGTGGACTTCAACTCCCAGAATTCCTCAGCCAGCAAAACAAAGCTGGCTGAGGAATTCTGGGAGTTGAAGTCTACAAGTCTTAAAGTTGCCAAGGTTGGAGACCCCTGTTCTATTGGGTAAGTTTTTTTCCCCTTTGGGATCTTTAAAAAAAAAATAGTTAATTGGGGTTTTTTTTAGTTGTTCTTTTTTAGACCTAGCCATTTAAAGTTTAGGAAGTTTTAAATTTAGCTTTCATATAAAAATAAAAATAAAATAAAATAAAATAATATTTGTGCAGCTTTCTGAGATTTAGTGTGTTTCTGTAGTGTTTCACTCTAACTACACAAACACACAAAATCTCACAAAGCTGTATGTGGAATTTTGTGTGTGTAAAGTGTGAAAGTTGGGTTTTGGGGCTTTTTGTGGCTGTGTGAGGTTCCTGCTTGTTGCAGGGGCCATTTTGGGTCTAGCACAGCTGCTTTTACATTGTGGATGAGCCAGTTGTGTTGTGTTGTGTTGTGTGTGTGTAAAGTGTGAAAGTTGTTTTTTGTGGCTTTTTGTGGCTGTGTGAGGTTCCTGCTTGTTTCAGGGGCCATTTTGGGTCTAGCACAGCTGCTTTTACATTGTGGGTGAGCCAGTTGATGTTTTTTTAATTTTTATTTGGTGTGCGTTGGAAGAGGGGTAGTCTTATACGGCGAGTATAGCCCAAACCCTATATTTTAACAGGAAAATTTGGGGGTCGTCTTATACGCCCAGTTGTCTTATACGCCGGAAAATACGGTATGTTAAATTAGAAGTTACTCTACAATGTTATAGTATAATGTTTTTTTTTTCTCTCTTTTCTGAAATGTATGGATAAAGGGGGATGTTATAATATTAATAATATTTTAGTAAGTAAAGGTCAGTATTTAGAGGAGGGAGTAAGTAATCTGTTATGAATTAGGTTTTTTGTTACGAAGAAGTCACAGGGGGGGATGGGTGGGGAGGGGGGGTTAGGAGGGAGGGGGAGGGGGAGGAAAAAAAGGGGGGGGGAAATTTGTATTTGAAAACTTTTTCAATAAAAAAAAAAAAGATAGTAAATGACAAAGAACCTGTGAGGAAGAAACTCAAAACACTCCCAACTTGATTCTGTTTGGCATGATTCTGGCAACGTTAGGCCCAAGCAACCAGAACAGCTCCAAGAAATTTCGCAGTGTTTTATTTAGTGTTGATCACCAGTTTACAAGAATCTTGCCCGAATGTTTCCCTTCCATTGGGAAATGGCAAGGCAAACCTAAGTGTTTGACCTCAAATGTTTCTTCCCATGAATGAACTGTAAGCTGCAATGCCTTTTAAATCCCACCCACCCACCATGAGGCTTCCTCTCCTTCAGCCACAGGCAGGCTTTCAGGATTGTTATTATATCTTACAACAGTAAAGTGATACCAAGTTTCCCCGAAAATAAGACCAGTCTTATTTTCTTTTCAGCCCCCAAATAAGCACTAGGTCTTATTTTCAGGGGATGTCTTACCAGCTTAGTTTAGGACCACCGTAGACATGCCTCCCACGCCCTGACACCTATTGCACTGCTTCCTGACTTCTGCACCTGCTAGCGACAGACACTGTGTGGCTGTCACGCTAGTGCTGCCACTCATGGCAGATGCCACGAGGCTTGTTGCGCCAGGGCCATCGCTGATGGCAGGAGGCTGCATGGTGCGTTGTGCCACTGCATGAGCAGTGTCACCAGCATCACAAGCCACATGGTATGCGAGGCTGCAGAAGAAGTTGGGCACCGGCGCGACAGGTGTCAGAGCGTGGGAGGCCTTGCTGCAGTGGTCCTAAGGGGAGCGGGTGCGGGACATGTGGAGCAGCTCCACCCTCTACCCCATCCTAGCTTGATTTTTACACCTGTGCCTTGCCCCACCTCATACAACCAGATGGTGGGTGGGGCTTAACTAGGGCTTATTTTTGGGGTAGGTCTTACATTAGTTGCAGGTGTGAAAACCAGGCTAGGGCTTTCAGGGTCATGTTTTTGGGGAAACATGGTATTCCTGAAAACCTTGCTCTGTTTATTTCATGATCTGGCTGACTGAGACCGCTGACAGTAGCTCTTATCTCCATTCAAACTTTTAAGAAGTTTGAATGAAGATAAGAGAAATGCATTTTAAGAAAACAAATACTGATGCAGTTATACTCAGATATTGAACAATACATTGACATAGAGCTTCTTGGTTTTGGCTCAAATATCTTTTTAAAAGTACTTTTATATTAAAAAGTCAGTTTTATGAGCCATATAGATAGTAGAATATTAAATATTTTAAAACATATCACTACTTCAATAGAACAAAACACTGAATTACATAAGGAAATGTTTAGAATTTTATTTCATATTGGAACCAAAGTTCCAAAGTTTAGATGTATTTCAGCCTTGTCCTAATCACATTGGAAATACCATTAAATGTACAATTCTGTATTTCAGCCATCATCATGATGAAAAGGCTGTACTATAAACAGTACCCATTAATGTTTATAGTACAGAGTTATTGTACTATAAAGCATTAAAATTTGGTTTGGATATTCTTTGGAAAAAAATATAAAATTAACTACACATCACCTGTTTCCCGTTGAATCTTGAGATATGTCTAAGTTTGGAATTATAGAAGGAACACCATATTCATCTTGATACCTCTTACATGATTTATAATGCTGTCTCATACGAGAGAATCTAATCTGTAAAAGATGTATTTCATTTAGATTTTTAAATACTGATATAAAAAATACTTCAGAAAGCCAGTTTAGTTATATGATATCTGGAAGAGACTAACAGCTGGGAGACTACTAGTTCTAATCCTCTCTTTGTCATAAGAGCTGGCTGGGAGACTTTGGGCCAGCTTCTCTCAGCACAATACACCAAATATGGTTATTGTTGTGAGGAAAACAGAAATCAGGAATATTAGATATGTGTCCTTCTTGAGCCAACCAAAAATAAAGGAGGAATACTAAAAATAATAACCTCAAAGGGTAGATAAATCAAATATCTAAGGCAATTTTAGGGTGCATTCTAATGAGTCTATCTGCTTTTAAGCAAGATAATGCTGATAGATTGGATGGGCTTTCTTCCCAGACTTATTCTACAAGTTTGGAAGATCCTCTGGATTAATTATGTGTATGTTTGCAGCAACAATTATCCACTTTTAAAACTATTTTCCATTTACTGTACCTGTTTTTCACAGCATCTACAACTCCCCACCAACTTCTTCATGTTGTTTTCCACATCTAAGGCTCTGTTGGGACGTGCTTTTTCTTTTCTGGTTACAATGCCTCGACATAATGGACAGTGTGGTCCACCTTCTTTCATAGCCATTAAGAAACACTTCCTGCAAAATCTTAATCAAATATATTTGGCAGTGAATGAACAGACAAATTGCAAATCAGAGTCAAAGTGACATGCTGTAAGGCAAATCATCATCCAAATTTTATATATACTGTGATGATACCTAGATTAATGGAGGCTAAGTAGGAATTATGTTGTAATAACCATTAAAGTGTTATTAAAGTATGAAAGGGGAATAAGTAGATTCTGGAAGGACAAGAACTCAATGGCTATTCATCATAATTAGAAACAGAACATACATCAGCTCCACTAGGTAGATCAGATCAGAAAATCAACTATTTTTTTAAGTGAAATTAATTTACTTTTATTAAAATTGGCTATAACAGAAACCTGTGCTGTATCTGTTGCTCCTTCTTATATTTCGGTAAATTACAGGGTTGTTTGCCTGAGTTGTTCCAGAATGTTATTTTTTAGTTCTGGATTTTTTAAAAAAAGTTTCAGTCCTTTTTTGCCTAGGTAATGTTCTTACATATTCTGGGAAAAGGGCAATATTACTGCCATAGATGTATTCTTACAATAGAAAGAAACAGTGGGAGGGAAAGAAATAAAACACTGAAAAATGGGTTAGTCAGATACTCACATATGTTGACAAATGGAAATCCTGACAGGTGTTTTGAACACATCTTGGCAGACAGGACAATAATAATCATCTTCATTGAAACAAATTGTGGCAGGTTCCTCATTCATGACAGCAAACTGTGGTATTTCTGAAAGAAGAAAAATTAACATCTGAAGTATCACTTTAACCCTAGTGGCATTGACAAAATTGCCATCGATCAATTGCAAAAGGCAAGGATACCTTTAGCACCATCAAACAATGTTTGCCTATCTCAGGTCCTTGGAAAGGAGTTGGACAAAATGCCAAATCCAGTCTAAACATCTGGCTGTGTGCACCAATCATAATCATAATAATACTACAACTATGCTAGATGAAATACTAGATGTAATACTAATATTAAAGTACTATTTTTAATAATACACACAGTGCTCTGTATAACACCATCTTGGATTAACAGAAAGACAGAGGCAATGCATAAAACTGCAATTAACTGATCATGAGTAATGAATTGGGGGAACATAATATTCTCAAAGTCATTTGCAATGTGAGAACTTATAGCTCTCCTACGACTGTATGACCACAGCAATAGTAGTTGGCACAGCTTATCCACCATGAAACTGGACTTCTTTTGCCTCTGCTCTGGAATTTGGAGAAAGAATAGACAGCTTCAACAGCCTGAAACTCCATCTCTTTCAAATTTCTTTTCTAGGCTTCCATTCCACTTGAAATCTATTGTTTTTACAAACCCTTTGCACAGGTTTCAGTCACTGTACTTGCAGCCTTGCATTCTGTCAGCCACAGGCTTTTTTAGGGCTACGTCCTTAACATTTGCCTTTTTCTATATTCTCTTGCCATTTAATAAACAGTTGCCTGGATTTGGGGAGACCAAAAATCTTAGTCTGTAACTCACATTGGTTGGGCCTAAACCCATAAAGTGAAACTTTTTCTAGTTTATTAAAAGTAAACAGGGCTGGGCTTGGCCCTGTGATCTTGGAAACTTTGCTCTCTCTGTAGGGCGGCTTATCTGTGTTGCTAAAATGTTTTAATGAATGTTGACTTTCCTTCCCGTTTTGGAATTTGACTGAGAAACTTCCTAAGTCGAAAAATGGCTTTTAAAAATAAATTTAAAAAAACACACACACACACACACACAAAACGGAAGCTCCTGTCACGCTAGCGAAAGGCAAGAGGCGCGCGAGCGTGAAGAGGAATCTCGCCTGCGTGGCGCGCGGGGAAGCCTCAGGAGCGGGATGCTGAGCCACGCGCCCGAAGCCTCCCTCGCGCTTCTCAGGTCTCGGTCAGGCAAATCCTCCCTGAAGGCTGCCCGCCCTGAGCCTCCAAGAGCTACCGCCACTACCTGTCGAGAGAACGGGAGGGTCTATCGCAGGCCTCGGGAGTGGGCCGGGATCTTCAAGGCTCCCTGGGGCCAAACCGGTCAAAACACCACCGCTCTCCATAGCTGTTAGGCCGCCGCAGCGGCGGCCTAGTCCCAAGAGGCGGTGCCAGGTTGCCATGGCAATAACTCCCCCCTCCCATCTTGCGGGAATTGTTATTGAACAAGAGTAGGTGTCGCTGCCTCTCTCGGCCCCCACGAGGGGAGGCGGGAAAGCTGCCTTTCTCGCTCCTCAGCCCTTCTCACGTGTGAACTAACTGGCCCGGAGTTAAGCTTGTGGGTCTAGTAGCGAAGCCAAAGAGCTTCGTGATCCGCTTCCTCGGGACCGAGGTGCAAGAACCGGGCTTAGGACGCCGTCAGACAAGAAGCACCCTTCGAACGTTGGTTCTTTTCCCGCCTTCGCCTCAGCAGCGATTCTCTGCTCCCCCACACCCCCTCCGACCTCCCGACACACACACCCTCCCCAGACCGCAGCCCGGCGGGCCTCTTTATTTGCGAGGAAGCCCTAGTGAAGCTACTGAAACGAACCATGATTCCTGAGCGTTCGGCGAATAAGGCTCCTCTTTACGGCAAAACTCGCAGAGGTGGTGGTTTGACCGGTTTGGCCCACTGGGAGCCTTGCAGATCCCGGCCCAGTTAGGAAACTTTTCTTCAAACTTTTGTCTTCTGTCTGTTTCCTTGAGGTGGCCGTGGAGCGTAGGACTGCATTTCTTTACTGGGCTTTACTGAAGAGAAGTTGGAAGTACCAGCCGCTGCTCACGCTTCACTCGATCTCTTTTGTTTTAACTCTTTTACCACCCATTCATGGGTACGCGCGTTTTAGATGCTAAGTGAAGCGGCTTTTTCTGCCGGGTTAATCGACCTTTTTCGTCTCTTTTTTTTCCCCCTCCCAGCACGCCTCCTGTACGTTTTAATAGATGGACCTTGCTTTACCTGCTGCAACTTTTATTACGTGGTTGTTAAGAGAACGGTCCTACGGGCTGGAAGATTTGGAAAGCCCAAGCCACCCAGGTCAATCAATCCTTTCCGTTTCTTTTCTGGGTTAACCTTATTAAGAGAACACGAGATTTTCTCCTATTGTTACGTCGGCGATTTCTACTTAAGGCAGCGAGGCTCTGCGTAAACGTCAAAAGAACTCTGGTTTATTATAGGTAAGGTCGGGGTTTTTAAAAAGGCGACCCCTGTCGTCCCTCGCTTGTCATAGCACGGTATGGAGCATTGCGACCGCCTTCTCTTAACTGCGGTTTGCACCGTAAATTGGCTTAGCAGCCTTATGGCTTAAGCCAGTGTTTCTCAACCTTGGTAGCTTGAAGATGGGTGGACTTCAACTCCCAGCAGCACTGGCTGGGGGATTCTGGGAGTTGAAGTCCACCCATCTTCAAGCTTCCAAGGTTGAGAAACACTGGCTTAAGCTCTAGGCAAGCCGGCTGCAGCCTAGAGCAGGGGTCTCCAACCTTGGCAACTTTAAGGCTTGTGGACTTCAATTCCCAGAATTCCTCAGCCAGAAGTTGCTAAGGTTGGAGACCCCTAGCCTAGAGAGCCATCAAGTCACCCTCCCAAGCTATGGCAAATGAGAGAGAGCTACAAGCAAGTCAAATGTCCAGTGTTAGTGTAATAAAGATATACAGAGGCTATGTGTTTTTGTTTGTATCTCTTTTTGAATAGTACTTCAGAGCCAGGACATAGTTGACAGGATATGACATTAAATCCAAAGAGTAAATTACTTATTTGCATCAGTGTATGCCAGGCAACATAATAGAGTAGAATTTTTTACTGGCCAAGTGTAATTAGACACACAAGGAATTTGTTTCTGGTGCCTAAGCTCTCAATGTATGTAGTGGTAAGGAACAAAGTTATAATCATCAGATGAAATACCCTGTTTTCCCCAAAATAAGACATCCCCTGATAATAAGCCCAATTGGGCTTTTGAGTGCATGGTAATAAGGCCAAGCGTTTATTTCAGGGTTTAAAAAAATATAAGACAGGGTCTTATTTTTGGGGAAACATGGTAGGTAATAGGGAAAATGAGAATAATGATGGATAGTTTGACGTGTTGTGGGAATTAGTTGTTTAGTAGAGTGGTGGCATGGGAGGGGGGAACTGTCCTTTTGTCTAGTAGTTCTGACTTGCAGTGCCCTGTAGCATCATTTTGAGGTTAGAAGTTGAAACCGTTTATGTCCAGGATGTGAGGGATCTAGATATTTTCACAGCCGTCTTTCTGGCTCGTGCAACATGATTTTGTAGAAGAAAAACTGCTTAAAGGGGTGGGAAGGATAGTTATCAAAACTTGAATTGAAAATGTTGCCTTTAATAGTAAGTTACACCAAAGCATTGGATGAAAGGTAATTTTCTTAATTACCTTTGTGGTGACTTTGGGTTCAATAGTCTATCTTATAAATTCTTTACAGTTCAGAAAATAGTCACTGATTACAATCCTAGATCTTTTATTCTGTTTACTTCCCTTTATATACATAAATATATATTTTCTCTTTAAAACCAGAGCAGATCTGAACAGAATGTCTGCCTTATAACTAGACTAGGCTCATACAATAGATTAATCTGAAACCAAACTATGTTAAAGTTTATTGTAATGTGTAACACAACTAGGTTGTGTTAGAAAGTCTTTTGCTTAGTCATGGTTTTTCTCATTCATAGGATTTTATAAGGTAATTATGCACTATCAAGTTGCTTTGACTCCTAGTGATCATGTAGATATATTTTCCCTGTATTTTCTCTCCATCTGAATTTTTCCAGTAAAAATACAAGGGTGATTTAACATTGCCATATTATTTTATGAGATAAAAAATGGTAATACCTTCCTATTTTCCAGTTATTTTTTTTCCTTTACAAAAGGAAAGAAAAAAGAAGTTGAAATAACTGAAAAATATTAAATCAACTGCAGGAAGAGTCACTTTTGGAAACTCAGCTTCTGAGTTTAAAGGATTTCATGTTTCTGACAGATTTTATTATTTTTTATAATAATTTTTTTATTTTTTTAAATTTATTTGCTGCCCATCTCATTTCAAAGTGACTCTGGGATGACTATGATATTCATATGAAATTATGCTGAATTACCATGCATGTTTACAAATAAATGAAAAATACGTCTGAATCTTCTCAAAAATCTTCCTGTACTTATGTTTCTTATTTTTATGCATGTAACTAAAAAGATATGTAAGATGTTCAAGCTTGCTTTAGAAATGACCAGGGATCACGAGACATTGTTGATCTATATGGGTAACTGAAAAAGCCAAACATCAAAAAGAGATCAGTACAATATGTGATTATAGATTGGCATCTGATTGTCGATTATGTCAAATTGTGCAAAGTGCTTATAAAAATAGGAATCACAACATCTCATTATCTTCATGAGAAACACATACAAGTCAGGAAGCCATAGTACAGACAGAACATGGTAAAGAGACACCTCCAGGTTTGCAAAGGAGTGAGATAAGACTGCATGTTTACCCCTTACTTATTCAACTTATATGTTGAAAGATATTAAGGGAAACTGGATTTGAAGTTTAGCATGGTTTTAAAATTGGAAGAAGTGGTTACCTACACTATGCCACTAATACTACCATGATAACTGAAAATGCAAATGATCTGCAAGCTCTAGTAATAAAGCAGAGAAAAAAAAGGGCCCTGAAATTAAATCTTTACATCTAAAGACAATCAAACAAATGGCAACAGATATAATAAACAGCCTTAGAATCAAGATATTGGTGATAGTTTTTGCCTTTTAGGATTAACCATCAACAGTAAAGAAAGAAGTACCACTAGTCAAGAAATATACCATAGACTAACATTTGGAAGAGCAACCATGAAAGAAAAGATATTCAAATGCTTCAATGCTTAAAAATACAGAATAGTGCAGTAATGGTATTCCCTATGACACAACATGAAAATAAAACTTGGACTTTAAATAAGCAAGATTTAAAGAATATTGGGAAGAATATTGATTCTTTTGAATTTTGCTGTTGAAGAAGACAAGAATATTGTGGACAGCTAGGAAACAAGCAAATGAAAACAAACAAATTTGTTAAACAATTCACCCCATAGTTCCCACACAAGGCTCAAATTCTACTTTGTACACATTATGCAAATCCCTAGCTGTCTGGATAAGACTCTAATACTGGGAAAGATGATAGGAAAGAAATTAGGACCAGCAACTTGTTCATTAAGCAAAGTGATCACTAAGTAAAACTGCGACACTGATTATAATCTTACTTCAGTTTCCTTTGCATCATAGATCTCTGGAGGTTGTAGATGTGAGGACTGGTCACAGTTACTTTTTCATCACCAGTGTAACTGCAAAATGTTGCTGTGCAAGGCACTCACTAAACAATATTTATAGCAAATTTTTTATTCGTAGTCTTAGCCAATAGAAACTGTTTGTTGTCTTCAATTTATTGCTAACTTATTTATTTGATTTTTAATCTGCTATAAAAATAATTATAAGTATCTCAAGACAGCAAACAGACATTCCTTCCTATTTTTCTCACAACCACCTGTGAAGTGAGCTGGGCTGAGAAATAATGACTGACCAAAGTAGGTTTCTTCTTTTACATAATATATAAGTACTATTATTTATGCATGCATTATGCTATTTTTAATTTTGCGACATGGTCTTGAGGGAAACAATTATGAGATAAAATATGGTTTAAAAATACTATTCCTTCTCTCTGGAACATTGTGCCATTCCCCACCCAAGCAAGATCTCAACCCACCCTTTTGGCCTTCCAAAAGGGTCAGAATATCTGCTTCTCCCAACTGGCCTGGGCCTGCAGTGGAGTTGTATCATTCTGGAAGAGCCTAATGATGGTTAAAGAAGACTCCACTTCCTCCCCCTTTGCATCTTGCTCCCTTCCTCTCCATCTTGGTCAATTTAAATTTAAATTTAATTCTTCCATTGTTTTAATGTTTTATATTTGGCATTTTGTTTGATTGATTTACGCCACCAAGAGTCGCCTTTGGCAAGATGGGCAGCATATAAGTTAAATGAATAAGTAGCCTTACATTTATTTATTTATTTAAAAATATAATTAAATTGAACAGTTCTAGGCAAGGCCCTGACAGATCTTGCTAGCAATTAAAGAAAACCTGATGACATTACAATACAAGAGAGTACTGAAT